CATATCATTCCATGTGAATAAAATTTCCGTTGATCCCTATTAAATTTATAAAGAAAATATAAGTTATTATCGTATATTAATTAAATATAGGGATGTACACTTGATTCGGACAATTTTGACATTAGGCATCAAAGAAGGTAATTTTCTTCGAATGTTTACCAATAAGTCGGGTTATGCGTAATAGTTAATTTCTTTAATGCATAATGTCCGAATTTAATTGTATTTTATCCGAATTAGGTGTATAAAACTTGTATTAATTTGCCTTATATTGATCAAATGCAAATTTTTTAATCCACCATTCTTGAGCCGAAGGATTAGTATAATCTACCCACGAGGAACTACCTGTTTTTTATATAATTTAATAAAATAAATTTATGAAATTTGAAAGTAAGATCTAAAGACACGTGCCTGGCCAGCATATCGCATCATATGCTCGACCATGAGAATCTTTGACAAAAAGATCTAGATCGTTGGCTTCTTTGTATATATAATAATTTTTATCTCGTTTGATATGCGGATCAATGATCGCTACCATCTAATAATGGATTACATTTAATAAAAATTACGCCATACCGACGTTGAATATGCTTAGAGTATGCTTAAGGTCATAAAAAAGCGAACCTTTCGTCCTTTTGCCATAAGATCTTTTTGCATTTTTTCAGGATCTGGAAAATTATAAGTGTTCCACGTAAAATATTTTTTCCCATCAGTATGATCAATATCTAACCATAAAACATCATAGGGAATATCATGCTCGTCAAATCCTTCGTCTACTTTTGCAACATCTTTCTGGCTGAGATAACTATAACGACACTGATGATAGCCAATCGCAAAATATTGAGGCAGTGCCGTGAATCCAGTGAGTAATCCATACTGGCGGAAGATTTCGGAAGAAGTGTTGCCAAGAAAAGTAAATACATCGATAATGCCCGACTCAGAAAACCAATGAGTATTGGTCGAATGAATAAATTTGCCGGAAAGATTATGCTAACAAAAAAAAAACCATTAAAACCTTTCCCAGTGCTTAATTCGCCACATAACAGTTAAAATAATATTTAAAACCTCATTCTCTTTACTCTTAGTTATATCAATATATGTTTCGGATGCATTTAACCATAAAATAGCCGCTGATGCTCCTTTTCGATGCGCCATCATAAACGGAATAGATCCATAAATTGCCTTCGGGCAGTCTATTTCATATCTAAATACATCTAAATTATACATGCGATAAGGATCAGAGTAGGCATCAATACCTCCTCTATAAGATAATAAATAATTAGTTTCTTTATAAAGAACAACACTATTGAATTGATGATCACTTGAACGTCGTATACCGTGTCTCTTTCAATGAAAGTGGTGATGTATGTTCAGGAATTCCGTATACATGGTTAAACCCTGGAAATGAGATATCAAGTCCGATGGATCCCGGACCTGTTCATACGAAATCGGTTTAAAGTCATATCAATGTTTTAATATGAACTGATTATCATAGGTCATTTTGCTCGTAGATTAATAATAAGAAAATTAAATCATTAAGGGTAGTTCAATCTCTGAAGGGTATAAAAATTCATAGTAAAAGCGGTCGGAACTTAATTTTTACATTGATAGAATGCAGCTGAATCGCAATGGTTTTTTTAATTTAATTTTTTTTTTTTTATGTAACCCTCTCCTCTAACGAAAGTTGTAGAAACAGTTACTGAGATTCTAATAACGGTGTATCATATAATCGGCCCAATAGATTATAAATTATTGGCATTTTACATTTACAGCACCTTTTGAAAACCTAATTCTATGCTGACTTTTACTATGATTTTTTATATCCTTCGACTGAAATTTACCTTTAAAAAAATTTTTTACAATGACCGATCACAAAAGCAATGAAAATAGCAAATGGAGCCGATCATTTTTTGATGACATACCATTCGATTTTGTGTTTAAATTGTTCCCGAAAGTTTCTACCTTATGGATTGAATTTTCACCGTTACATTGATTAGTCGGAATGAGAGATTCTATATTTTGTTCCTCTTCTCTTAAATGTTCAAAATTTAAGAGGCAACGATCATTTAATATGATTGTAGGTATGTCATTAACCAGAATTTCAACTTGAAACGGAGAATTGTAAATTGAAATGGTTTTATTATTTTCTTCACCGAAAGAAAAGGCTGTAATCCCCGGTTTAGAGGGGATTAGATTATATTTTAAAGTAGTTAATGGATCTTGAACAAGGACCCAATCTTTTACTTTATCATAACGAGGTTTTAAAGGATTCTTTTCATTAATTCGAATTCTTACTGCACCAATTTCCAGTATATATAATTCGAAAATAAATTCTAAATTGTTTTCAGAATTAATAATATATCCTGAAATTATACCATCTTTAATTTTGATAGAATCCTCAATCAATGAATAAGGGCATTTAAATGATGAATTTGCAGATGCCTTATCCGCATAAGTTCGATGGCGCAGACAGAAGGAGCTTTGTTTGCTGGTTTCTAAATGCTCCTTCGCTTCAAAAAACGACTTGAAATAATTTGCAATGCTAGGAAAGAAATTTATTGATCGAACATATTCCATTATTTAATTTTACTTGTACTAAGGACTCATAAAACTTTGTATATTTATATATAAATGATCAGAAAATCATGTCCGAATTTTTACCGGTCCCTAGTACAAAAAATTATTAATAGAATATTGTGGAATGGAAGTTTCATTAAAAAACTAAATTAGACTTGATTTAACTTTGAGGGGGTGGTGATACTTATTTTTAGTTTGGTTAATTGATTGTCGAAGGTACTGCATGCATATTGGTTTTTCTGGCATTCCGCTATCAATTATGTTGGCCAAATGGGCTTTCAGCTGGCTAGATGTCATTCAGCTAGCTAAATACCTATTCAGCCAACAGAATGTAGCAGTATGCCGACAAAAACCAGCATATATTTAACACCTTCGGATCAACCAAGCTGAAAACACAGTCAAACCCCTCTATAGTCACCTCCTCTATAGTTACAAAATTGGTATAATTACAAATTTATTTTTACCAATTATTTATAACTATATAGAAAATACCTCTATATTAGTCACACCTCTTTACAATCACAGTTTTTTGTATCCCGAAGGTGTACTATAGAGGGGTTTGACTGGAATGACAATATGTTGATTTTTAGCACTTTGACTAATGTGTATAGATGCAAACTAAAAAATTTAAAAAATTTACAATGTATGGTTAGACAAACTTGTAAAATTTATCTTTGATAAGTGATTTCTTTTTAATAATTAGGATTAGGGTGACTGCTAATATTGCCTTTTTTTATGTTAATATTGGCAGTAAAATCTCAAAGAACTTCTTATATGAATTATACATACTATCTTAATTTTTACTATACATATTTTTTTTTGATAATTTGGCAATCTGCCTCTGTTTATTTGAGATTAAAACTATTCAAAAAACTACATGAATTTCTATCTATAGCTATACTAATCTAACCAAACAAAAGGCTCACCAAGCTTAAGCCCGATGCGACCTGCTTTAGTAGCCATTGGTCTCCTTTGGGGTCTCTAACTTGCAGAGACTTTTTTCCCTTAGTCATCGGCTGGCAGTTATGCATCTTGTCAGTACTGCCTTACTTCAAAGAATTCAAACTTACTTTGCATCTTGTTAGAGATGACCAAGTTGGTTTTGATCTGTATTGTACCAGATTTTTGATATTTCTGAATGCTAATCTTTTGTATACTTCTTTTTTTTTTCTTTTTGGGTTTAGGATATTTTCTTTATCTGCATGGATTCTTCTTGCTTCTCTTTTCTTTTGATCCTTTTGTTTTTCTTTGCAATTCCTTTTTTCTTTCCCTATTCAATTTGTAATTTGCATCTAAGGTTCCATATATGTTAGCAGAATCTTTGAATTTACTATACATATTTTATTAACACTATATTACATATTTGCTATATACTTTTTTTCAAAAAAGGGATCTGTTAAAACTGCAAATTTATCTAGAATTATAACCAAAGTAATATTAGATAGCTTTGCTAGTAGTGTAATTTTATTATTGTTAGTAATTTTTTCAGTATATTTTATTTTTGGATAAATGTCACCATAGTTTTGTTCGTGGTGCAGTTTTGTTGTTGCTGATAATTTTGTTAATATGTTCTAATATATAAGATTCATATTACTATTTTTTTGCTTTTAGATAACTATTACTATGGTTTTACTAGTAATACAATTTTATATTTGCTAATAAATTTGTCAATATATTTTGTTGAAGTAATTATTGTTATAATTTTATTGGCAGTATTGCTTAATTTATTAAGCAAAATGTAAACTTTATTTAATAGCAACTAAAAAATTTTTTTTCAGAAATATATAAAAATTTAAAAAACTTTTTAAAATTTTAATAGTAAAATTAAAAAATAAGTTTTATTAAAAGTGTAATATCTTTATCAAAATTCAAAATTGAATTATAAAATTAAATATATTATTTATAAAAGAAATATCTTTAATTTTAATCAATAAATAAGGGTCAAGCTTAAATAAATTTTAAAAAACTTAAAAAATTTTTTAAAAATCATTTAAACAAGCAAATTTTGTCTACTAGATAGTTTAAAGAATATAGTTAAAACTTATTTAAATTTGATAATATAAATATTATTAGTTGAAGTACTATATTTAATCTATATACAGTCAGACCTCTCTAAGTGCATGCCCTTGGAACCACACTTTAACAACGTGCATTTAGAGAATAATAAAAAAAAGTGTATTTATAGAAGTCAAGTATATATTTGGGCCAGAATCTGAGCGTGCATTTAGAGAGGGTGTGCACTTATAGAGAGTGCACTTAGAGAGGTCTGACTGTAATAGTTTATAAAAATAATTGTTTTTTAGAAGTAAATAAGTATTATATTATTATTATATTATTGATCAAATATAACTATAAATTTATAGTATTTTGTAGTATATTATATTTGGGCTAATTGTTATATAAGAGGTTTTTGTATTATAATTTAATTTAGAAAATATATTATTTTGTTATTTCTATTCTATAAGTTTTATACAATATTGTATCTATATCTAGTAATATATATTTTGTAATAATTATATAAATAATTGAATAGTTATTTTTATTGCTATTTAAATATAGTTTTTATATTCTCTTATAGTTTGTACAAGAGATATAGTAATAAACTCTTATATAGTTGTATATAAATTAATATTATTGTGTTAATTGTTAAATAAAACTTTACTAATTTGTAAAATTGGTTTATAATTATTATAATTAAATATTAATAAGATTTAGACTAGAATAGTAAAAAAAATTACTTAATATTTAAATAAATAAATTAATATTTTTAACTTTTTATATATTAAATGCTATATAATTGTTACTAAAATTATTAATAAATATAATATATAGTCAATACTGTCTAATTGTATATTATTTGTCAGAGACTTTTTTATATATAAAGTCAGTATATATATTTAAGTCATAGTAACTATTTTGGTGTTAATAATTAAAAGCCAAAAGTTTTATATACTTAAAGAGTATATACAATTATACAGTATATATTTAGACAATATCTACTATATATTAATATATTAAAGCAAGAAGTATATTAAGTATAAGCTTAATTTTAAAGATCTTATATATAAAATATATATATTTTTATTTCTCTTCATTTCTTAAAGGTCTTTAGATACCTTCAAATCTCTCATATCTTTCAAAAAACTAAAGTTTTTATTTCTGTAAAAATCATTAATATAGTAATTAGGTC